TGGGGTGAAAGAGCTACAAAGAAGCAGCCTTGTCTCCACGTAGTTAGCAATTTGAATTTCCCGCCTTTCCCCCCTGCCTTTTTCTGTTCGTAAGTGGAAGCTCTGGTCGCAAGTAGAAGCAAAATTTTGCGGCCAGAGCTGGTCATAACTTGAAATGGTCTTAAGTAGGGACGTTTGTAAGTCGAGGCACCGCTGTATAGCTTTCCCCAACTTGGTATCTTTCAGGTATACTGGACTTAAAACACCAAATCCTATATAGCTCTGCAGTGGTTCCCAACTTTGGGTTCCCAGACATTCTTTGACTGTAGCTCTCAGAAGCTTTCACCACTCGCTGTGCTGGCAAGGGCTTCTGGAATTGGTGTCCAGGAACATCTAGGGACCCAAGTTTGGGAACCACTACTGTAATGATGTTGGCTGCTCTAATGACTGAGGGCGATTGTTTAATTCAATCTGTTTTTCAAATGTCATAGTTTGTTCTGTTTCAACTACTGGTGCATCTGACTCAATATTATCATATTTGATATCTCAGCTTCCTTTTAATCATCCTTTTTATCATCTTCATAGCCATCTGTTTTAATTTATCCTCTAGTTATTGCATCTGTTGAATGTTTCTATTATCTTATTTTTATCGTGTTTTGATATTGTGTTGTATGTATGACTTGTTGTTAGCCGCTCAGAGTGGCCTGGTTGCCAGATGGTACGAGGTATACCCTGTTTCTCTGAAAATAATTCCTAACCTGAAAATAAGCCCTAGTATGATTTTTCGAGATGATCATAATATAAGCCCTACCCCAAAAATAAGCCCCTGTTAAGTGAAACCCCGCCCTCCACCATTGTGCAGCAACCAGAAGAAGATGACATGAGTGTATTTGAATAAATGTAGATGGTTGTACATAAAAAAATTAAAACATCCCCTGAAAATAAGCCCTAATGTGTTTTTTGGAGCAAAAATTAATATAAGACCCTGTCTTATTTCGGGGAAACATAGTAAATCCAATAAATAAAAAAATAAATAAATATTCTGTAAAGCAATGACATGCACTTATAATTACATGCTGTAGTTACCGTTTTTAGAACCAGTCTTTATTAAGGCTGCAGTATAATTTTATAATACACATTAATTCAGTCTCCTTTTATGTAATGAATTCTCTTTTTAACATTTTGTTTGCTTTGTAGGAGAGACTGGCTGGAAACCCAACAACAAAGAGAAAAGGTAAGCATTGTTTGGATATGAGAATGAAGAAAAACTTCCTATGCCGCAGAAGAAAACCTTTTAAATAATTTTAATCTTCATCTGTTGTTCAACCAAACTGTCTGCATTTTCTTTCAAGTAAAGAACCCAAAGATCCAGATCAACTTTACAGCACCCTAAAAAACATTCTCCAGCAGGTCAAGGTAACAATTAATTTTCAATAAACATTTTGAGAATTTTTCCGTCAGAGCACTGATTCACAGTACTTTTTTTCTTTTACCAAAGAGCCATCAAAGTGCTTGGCCTTTCATGGAACCAGTGAAGAGGACAGAAGCTCCTGGATATTACGAAGTTATAAGGTTCCCCATGGGTAATGTCATTATTAACTTTTTAAAAGAAAGATACTTAAACAGGTATCATATATATCTATATATATCTATATCTATATACACAGCTGAGAAAACTAGGGCATATATACCAAACAGGCCATAAAGTCATCTTGAAACACTGATTTTTGTGTTTGGATTCACTTTTCTCTCATGAGTGCTCTTTGAGTTCCAAAGCACCCCTTTCTCAGAAAGAAAAGGCTTTCTGCTTATAGAAGAGCAGTTTTGAGTCAAAGTGTCAATGACTTACATTAGAGGTGGGCACAAATCAGAAAAATGGCGATTTGGTTTGTGATTCATCAAGGTTGAAAAATCACTTTTTTTCTGACAAACTGATTTGTCAATTTGTTTTTTACTTTTAAACCCTATAAAACATGTACCCCCAAGCACCTAGAGACACAAAATTCGCAAGGACTCTTTGCCTAACTCCCTTCTACAAACCCTACTAGTTTGGTGAAGTTTGGGTTTCGGACATCCAAGTTACATGCGCACAAGGTACCACACCTAGGAAAGTGCCCTTTAGCAGCTCGCTTGGAGAAATTCAATCTTCACCAAGTTTGGGGGGATTATAGAGGAGATTCAGAGGAAACTTCCCTGCAATATTGGTGTCTCTAGGTGCTTGGGGAACAGTTTTATAGCCAAATGAATAAATAAATAAATAAAACATCACTAAAAATTCATTATTCATATAATTCATACAAATATGAATCAAGAAATTAGTTTTTGAACAATTTGGTCATTCGTTTTTCATTCGTGCCCATTTCTAACTTATATCCAAGGAACTTTGGGTACTTACCTATCCTGCTGAAATTAAAGGTTTGTTCTTATAGTCAAAATAAGGGCAAGGGAAAATACAATTTCAGAGGGTGTAAAAATGGGCGGACGCTTAGAGTAGTGACAGCTTCTTGTTTTTACACTGTAAAGCATAGCATGTGCTGCAAATGTGCATTTTTCTTTCTTTCATAGTGTTTCACATAGACCATGTGATGGCATTTTAAAAATTACCATCTGTGCCTGAGTTGCTGGTTCATTGCAGACCTATGAAGGATTCTTCCAGTTGGCATACATAGTCTAGTCTTTGTTTGGTACTACCAAAATAAAATATGTCAGTGTTTTATCATAGGCTTAATGTTGTGCATTTAGGAAACAGGAAAGGCATTATACGATAGTAAGACTTGACATTTATTCTTACACAGACCTGAAAACCATGAGTGAACGGCTTAAGAACAGGTACTACGTGTCTAAGAAGTTATTTATGGCAGACTTGCAGCGAGTCTTCACTAACTGCAGAGAGTACAACCCACCTGAAAGCGAATACTATAAATGTGCCAATATTCTGGAAAAGTTCTTTTACACAAAAATTAAAGAAGCTGGATTAATTGACAAGTAATTATAGTCCTTCTCCCAAGAAATCAGGATGCCTAATTTAAGAGTAGAATATGCAGCTGATCTTTCAGTAGAACGGGATTTTGTGTTTAAAGGTATTTGTTTTATTAACTAGCACTTTTACAAGATGTAATATAGAAGAGTTTATTTTATTAAAGTCTTTTTTAAATGTACACTTGCATGCCCTTTTGCAGTGTATTCAAAATTTTATTAGATGTATTGCACAGACTGTTTGGAGAATTGGAAAAGGGAAATTTTCCAAGCAGTGAATGTTTAAAATTAATTTAATGCAGTATCAAATTGAAGGAGAAAAAGCTTTTTATTTTTTACAACAAAGATACTGACGAAGGGGAAAATGAATTTTATATATATTTTAATGAAACACTCAGAGAAGGTGCTATGAGAGTGAAAAATAACTGCTTTAAGAATGAAACTCCCTAGACAGGTGCAAACTTCTGTGAATTTGGTTATCAATATTTGCTTTCACAAAGAAAATCTGACAGAATATGTAGCACCACACTGACTATAGCTATTGAAGCCATGTTCCTAAAAGGGCTTCAAAATCTTTTCTGTACTATCGCAATCTAGCAATTTTTCTGCCACCTTAGGTTTTATGCACTTTATTGCATAAAAAATCCATCCCATTCTCTGGTGTACTAGTGTTTCCTTGCTTTTAAACATGGGTGAAAACAACTTCTATCCCATCATGGATAGGTTATCATTAGGTAGTACAAGTGACTTGATTCATACATTGAATAGTGCATACAGGTTCACATATCCAACAGGTGATTTTCAGTATGTCAGCATAATGGTGGTTGAATATTCCCATCAATCTTAATATAAAAGGGAATGTGATGCGGCCACTCAATTATGACAGATGCTGCTGTATTTCACTCAGATGGCCATTTGCCCAAAGTAGGTTGGATCCATGTTTAATGGTGCTTAGACTAGATTCTCCAAAATCAAAAAGAACTCATGACTAATGTTGAGTCTCACTGATTTAAGTGACTTGACTATCAGCCTGACTACATCTCATTCTCATGCAGTGCATGCAACTTTCTTGGGATCGGGGCCATTAGTGACACTTTCAAAAGTTTACTGGAATTCCATAAAAACAGTTCTAAACATATTCCTGTTAACAGCTGGTTATTTCTAATGTACATTATGTTAAACTAGATTTTTCAACCACATGACAAATGATTTTTGAAATACTGCTTATCACATCTATATTTAGTCACTATTTACATTATCCATAAAAGTTAACACTACTGTGCTTTCAAATAATCACTGGTCTGCGGGTGGGGTGGGGAGGAAGAAATACTACAGTACAGTACATTTGGCAGGGGAAGAGGCAGAATATATACCACCACCTTCTTCTTCCTAACTTGTTTCTGCAATGGCACTGGAGAAGTTGACTTTCATATCATTTTCCTACATATTCTGAAACATTTCACCAGTAAACTGAGGAAGAAAAGTGGCAAGTTCCATTACGTAAAAGAGTATCACTGCGAAACACCCACCATTCGAATTCTATGAGTAGGTGACTCTTGCTAGAAAGAAATGGTACAAGGAATTAGTCAGAATGGTAACATAGAAATGCCTTAGAGCTTTATATAAAATCCAATTTATTTGGCTTTGTATTTAAGATACAACAATGCAACTGTGTATTAGAGTATTTAAGTAGTAATTTTCAAGTATTTTGTAAACTGAGGCAACAGAATCACCTCTTAAAGCTTGATATCCTGTGAAAGTGTTATTTTCAAAGATAATTAATGTCTTGAAATTAGAGTCTCTTCTATATTGAGAACACTTGCTTTCTAATTTAAAGATTATTTTCATAGATATTGTGCAATAAAGCTATATATAGTATGTGTTTTAAAATGCTTTAACTGAAATTTTACATTTGTAAAATTATTTATTGAATTGGTATAAAATGGTTTTAAATTATATGTATAAAATTAATCTTGTGTGCTATTTTGTAATTTGCATATAAAAATACCTAAAGTATTCATCTTGTGTGGACAGATTTTCAAATTGCTTTTGTGTGTGGAATCACCTCACACTCAGTGGGTTAAGAACTGGCATTCACCAGGCCAAAACAACTTGTGGCCCTTAGTTTTCCTGCAGATAAACATCAGTTTACAACTAAAAAGGACCCATTGTTGCCAAAATGCTATGATCTTCAATTATTTGCCAGGGACTACTTGTCTTCACATTTAGTTACTTTTTCCATGGTACTTTCAGTCAGAAGAAGCTCCGAAAGCAGCTGACAGATCAATAATAAAATAATACAATCAGGGTTATCATCAAAAAGAGAAAACTTGAAAGGAGTAGGAATTGAAAAGCAGGAGGGGTGACAGTAATCTGAAGCACTAATTCTTAAAAGAGCTGCATGGAATACATAGATTTCAATGAGACATGGAGCCAAAGCAGCTGGTGTCTCAGCTGAGCCAGTGGAGTGGAACTACACCCACCTATTTGTAAACCTGTAGTTTAATTCCAGATAAACATGCACTGGTCTGCAGCTTAACATTACAAGGTAGTTGCCCTGTTCTCTTCATGGACCATCAGAACAGCTGCAAGTGGAGAGATGCTAGAACAACAGTATAGCCAATATAGTAAACAGGATTAACTTTTCCAGAGTTTAAAAACATTTAATTATCAATTTCATTGAAAATAATCATTTAGAAAATTTTATTTAAAAGTTTGGCAATTACAGAGCCTTTACAGCTGAAAGGATCTGCATCTAAGAACTCAAACTTCAAATGAACAAGTTTATTTCCATGTTCTCCTTAAGCAGATTTCCAATTTATGTTGGATGTGTCACTGAAAACTACAGCAATTACAATTACAGGTACACATTCAATATATTATTGCTCAAGATTTTTAAAATATAGAATTTGAACTTATACAGACTGTCATTGTGTGTTATGGTGTGAATAAAGAATAATTATAAATTCATAATTCTAGCCAGAAATACAACAGCTATGTATACAAACATAATCAAGCAAAAGAACTTTAGCGTTACCTTTATAATGCAAGAATATGGAAACAGTTCAACACAGATATTCTCCACTGAAAGATTTTCAAAGACAACCAACAAAAGCTTCATTATATCTGGACAGCGGTTTCTTTTTAACAGATGTGCACTTGCTGCTCCTTTTCGCTTTGAAAACTGGAGAGCTCAGAAAACCAGTGTCTGTAAAAGGGTCTCCCCTTCTGAGCTTCCTGTCAGAAGACATTCACCAAAAGGAGAAAAATCCACCATTAAAATTTTTTGGAAGTATTATACAGCTCTTACCTAACTTGTCATAACAAATTTAAGAAACTGTGTGAGGTTGTGTTCTGTCTTCACAATAAAGTTTATAAAGTGAATATACTATTAGCTTCTGAAAGAAACCGATCATAACCAAAGATACTGACCTTCTGATACTTGGTTCCTTGTAGCTAACAAAAAGAGTACACGTGCGTCGGCTGTAAGAGGTATTTTTTACTTCAGTATTCAGAGGTGGGTGAGAAGCTCTAGTTTGGTTAGATGATGATGATGCAAGGTTGGTAATATTGCCAAGATGGAGACGACATTTTGGAAGAACCACAGATGGTTCATCTGTTGAAAGAATTATTCATCTCTTTTATTCCCACTGTCCTTTAAAGAAGCCTGTCCATTACCTTATTTTAAGACTATGACAGACCATTCCAGCGCCTCCTGTCTCACCTCGCCTGCTTCTCTTGGGGTGGGGTCTGGTAGCAACCCCCCTAACTTAAGCTTCAGAAAATCCCGTAACTCCTGTGTCTTCACTCTCTCATACTCCCGCAGCCTCTCCAGCTTTCTCTTACGCTTCCACAACTCCAGTTCGACCTCAAACCGTCACTCTGCCTGACTACTTATACCCTCTTCCCAGACTGACAGCTCTTGCTCCTCCCTCTTCTGACTCCTGCTCTCCTCTACCAGACATATTTCAAATTTCCCACCTTGCTCTGTTCTCGCCCCCTCCATGGTCAAGTTCTCCTTTAGGTCCACCTCTACATTGGCACCTTCTGGCTTCCTTACTCCCTCTCCGCCCTCTTTCTCGTGGGATGTCACACTCTCTCCGGGACCTCCTTTTTTAAGGTTACGATTTTCAGAATTCTTGTTGCATTCTTTGAGTATTACCTTTTTTAAGGTTGCGATTTTCAGAATTCTTGTTGCATTCTTTGTCCTTGTCCATTTTGGTGTGAGCCAAATGGACACGCGCAGCAACCATCATGGCAACATCAGGACTGCTGTTTCTTCTACCGACAGATGCGCTACTTTGTTCCATATTTTCACAGTTACTATGTTCTGTAATTTTGCAAGTACCTACAAAATATAGCCATTGTATTGGTGTACTGATTTTTAATAATCTGTTAATAACTGGCATTCTGCTTCCAAGCATAAAGTTTTGTTACCATGGCACACAGCTATTGGTATGCATTTATCCAAGTTCATTTTTAAGTTTAATCTAGTGGCCACCAGATTTTATGGTAACATTTCCACAACAGATTCATGGGTTATACTACACTTTATTTACCCTCCTTTACAAATTGTCAGTTTGTTTTAAGAGATACATGCAATCCATAGATACTGTTAGATAGATAAGTTCTGGAAGTTCAAGGCAAGGCAGTTCCAAAGATGAAAGCAGAAATGGGTCCTAACACATGAAGTTTCAAAATGAGATAGGGCTTTCTTCTATATTAAACATTAACAGATTAACAGCTTAATAAATCAGAAACAACCCAGAACTAGCAAACTAATGTAAGCATGTCAAATTCTGGCCAGTAGTTGCTAGAGCATTCTGTTTCATTTCCCAGCTGGAAAAACCTTGTGGTCAAGCTAGCTGCATGTTCTAGGAGGGGGCCAGGGAAGGAAAAAATAATGTCCAACCATTAACAAGAAAAAGGCTAGGACTGATGGCCATGTGTCCTGCAATCAAACAGGGCAGCCCTTCTTCTGAAGAAAAGTCTTTTATTTTAAACAAGTCTGGTTTAAAGGTAAGAGAACCATAAAATGGAGAAGCAGAGGCCATGAAAAGTCAGCCCCTAGATAGAATACTAAGTAGGAATATGCCATTCAGACTTCTTCAACTTTTAAGTCCAAGAATTCTCCATTTTGGGAGTTCCACCTGACAGATCCACACATATAGATGTCTAAGTTTTTCTCACCTGGAGAAAAGGTCTGGCTAACTCTGGCCTAGGTCATGAAGCCTTCAAGCCAGGCCTTTTCTCCAGGTGAGCAAAGTTTAGGTGTCTGTAGGTATGGGTATGTAAAGTAGAACTCCCAGAGGCAGAATTCTGGGAGTCATAGTACAAACAATCCAAATGGAACATCTTTACTAAACAGCCACAATGGCCACCTGGTTCCACGTCTTCCCACTATTGATATGTATTATACTTCTCTATAAACATGAATATTTTTCCTAAATTAGGATTTACAAATATAAACAGGCACCTAAAAATATGTTAGCAAATTTGCCTACCCACCCACCCTTCCCTTTTTTTGTGATTCTACCCTACATGGCTTCCCTATGAGAGTGACACCTGAGTGGGAAGTGATGGATGGCAACTACCCTGAGATAATAGCTAATAGAAAGAAAAAGTCTCAAACATTATTTCCCACTGTTGTTTTATACATGAATAATCACTTTCCAGTGGCCTTTTAGAAGTAACATTAGGTGATTAAGGATATCCTATTACAGAAAATATGTGCTGCAAGATCAAAAGCAGGATAGTAAAATTAGAAAACAGAACAGCTCTTTTGCTGGCAATTCTGACTTGAGACTTAAAACTATTGCTGAGATTTGGTTGCTTACTGTAGTAAGTTGCACAAGAGTAGAGCCATATAAATCAATGGAACTTGAGAAGGTAATTCACCAAATCCATACTCATTCAATGGGCTTCCTCTAGTGCGACACAAAGCAACAGGATTTCAGTGAATATTTCTAACCTAAAAATACTGTAGAAGCCACAAGTATTCACATACAACAGATACAATTTCTTCAAAGGATAGCAATAAACAGGACTTACTTGCAACAGTTTCCTCATCAAAATACTTCTCTGATTGGCTAATATTCCTGTTTCTCTCATTGGTGCAGTTATCATGTTGCTTGCACTCAGTCCTTCTCAGTTGCCGTCTTGTGTGTTTTGGGCTAACATCAGTTTTACAGGTCAAGCTGTTTTTGGATTTTGATTTCCTGGTATAAGGTATGTAGAGACTGTCATCGGAGTCTTCTTCTGAAATGAATGATTCACTACTACCAGGTTCTGTTTCTTGTATGCAACTTTCGTCAGCAGTGTTATTTTCATTTTCTTTGTTTTGTCGGAAAGGTGTAATATGGATGCTTTCCTCACGCACAAAGTCATAAGCATCGCTACAACCAACTGATGTATCTATTTTTTCTTCTGAACAGTGCTGTTCACTGTGGCTTCTCTTTTTTTGGGATCTTGACCGGGACCGTTTGTTTCCATTTTTCTTAATTTCTAGTTTTCTCTTCAGACCTCTCTCTCTTTGTGTTTTAGAACCTCCAGCAATTTTAAAATCAGTTTGCTTTGTGACTGCTGCCAAGGTACTTGAATCAGTCAGCATATTCGAATGTTCCAGAGTTTGATCAGTGTTCATGTCACATATGTTCTCTTGACAAATATTGGTTTCTTCATATTTTTCATTCCTTTCCTCTACATCTTTCTCAGATCCGGTTTTATCTAGCACACAAAGATCCTTTATCTGCTGAATTACTCCCGTATTATCAGACACAGACAGCTCATTCTGGCCTTTGATCACTAAACAGCGACGACGGATAGATATGCTTTTTGGTAAGCCACTACCAACTTGCCTATCTGTTTCATTTAATGAAGGATACCTGTTCTCACAGTTCAGATGATCATCCTGAGAACTAGGAGGCCAACCTAGGAATTTAAAACAATATGCATCAATGCCAACTGGTACTGGGTCTAAAACATGTTAATTTGTCACCCATTTTTGTAAGGAAGATTTACAACACGTGTCTTGGAAATCCCCTACACATTTCCACAGTGATTAATCAAAGTTAGTAGAAAAGCATGAAGTAGTGTTAGAAATGACAAATAGTTAATACAGTTTGCTGAATGGTCTCTTAGAACAATTATGAGTACTGTCCCATAATACAGTGGTGCCTCGTGTGACACCCGTGAACCGGGTAGAGAGGCGTCCCATAATACAGTGGTGCCTCGCTTACCGATCGCTCTGTTGAGCGACAAAACCGCATACCGACGCTGTTTTTGCGATCGCAAAAGCGATCACTTTGCGATGTTTCCTATGGGGAAAAATCGCTTTGCGATGATCATGCGGAAGCAATCACCGCAAAGTGCCCATTTTTAACAGCTGATCGGCGGTTTCAAAATGGCCGCCGCAAAAACAAAATGGCCACCGCTGTTTTGCCTTGCTCTAGAGGCACCCAAAATGGCTGCCACTATGGAGGAATTTCACTTAAGGTGAGTTTCTAAGCCCATAGGAGCATATTAAATGTGTTTTAATACGTTCCTATGGGCTTTTTAAAATCGCTTAGCGATTAAATCGCTTAGCGACGTTTTTCCTGCAATGAATTAATGTCGCTAAGTGAGGCACCACTGTACAGCAAACAGTATGTATGTATGAAAAACCCTCTTTCCTACTTTGCCTTTACAGTGCATAAAAAACAGAGTACAGTACTGTTTGTATTTTCTACACAAGTTAATCCTTTCACCTCTATGCATACACTCCAATGCACAATTAACTTGCTTTAGGTAGACAGGAAGGTATAAAACTGACCTCCAAATGCTCCCAATAACTTGATGTCCTGCACAGATTACACAGAACAGGGAAAAGAACTATCCTCTATGGGAAACTTGTGAGCTTGTAAATTGAATACAATTTATTTATGACTGCATACTGCTACAAAAGAACACAACAGTAGCTAACTTGATTAAATAAAAAACACTAGCAAAACAGATGCAGTTGTGGCAAGTGTCAACAACAAGGAAAGAGCTACAAAATTAATCTGCAAGCACAGACAAGATACAGGAATATGGGGGCTCTGATATTTAACTATCAGAAATAAACACTGGTGTGAACAAGCAATCCAGTATAAAGTATTTTCTGAAGTAAGAAAATGGGATCTAAGCTGAATAAAAGATAAGTGAGAACATCCAATAGGTAAAACATTTAATCTGGAAAATCAGAAATAAAGCATTAATTATGACTCTAAAGATAAGTGAGAACTGGAAGACAGAAAGAACCCACAATAATGGTAATGGCTGTTTAAAAATGCTGGCTTACTATAACTGAACTGCTGCATACCGATCCTCCTCCTGCCAATGGGTATGGCCAAACAAACTAAAGTACTCAATGACCATAGTTTATGCTTGAATCCTGGGATCTGTAGGTAATGTCCCCATTATTGCCCAAGAGACCATATAGAAGCGCAATCAGGAACTACTGAAAACTGGAAAAAGGCACTTCCACTGATGCTTGACACATTTCCTATGCTTAGAATCCAAAAACTAAGTTTAGACTACCCCAAAGTAGATTTTTAAAAAAGTTACATCATCATCAGATCTCTGTGCCACATTATAATCTGCTTTTTAAAACTCCCTCAGATTCAAAAGAGGTTTATGGGTTGAGAAACAGAAATTAAAAGCCTTCTGTATCTGGGAAACAAGCCTCATCAAATTCAACGAGACTTAGTTCTTACATAACATTCCAATGTAAACTGCAATCAGTCATATCCTCCTATAGATTTCCAGTCAATCTCTCACTATAGCTGTATGTTTAACCCACATTTCAGAACCTTAAATGTACTGCTACCTACCTATATTTCTTTGAGATGTTTCTAGCAGAGGTGTATTTTCAACACCCTGTCAAGAATCAGATACAAAAGATGAGTAATTTTTATCAACATTAACCTGCATTTCGATTCTAAATATTTTATCTTATTTACTTACATCAGCAGCAAGAACATGCCTTAGCAAAGTCCTAAAGAAAACAATTGGAGTAGTCAGAATTATTTTAAGACAGAAAATTCTCATATAACACTTTTTAATGAGCGCATTCCAAATTAAAGCATGTTCTACAATTCCCCAAATATTATTTCAAAAATTAAATGTGAACACCATAAACTTTATCAATATTAACCAGAAATATGCCTTTAAGATACTGGGCAGAAACCTACTGAATAATTTCATGTGCATAAAGGCTGATGATATCATCAGCTTCAGACTTTAACCTTTAATTTAGAGTTTCCTATTCCATGTTTCTGCACTTCAGGTTCTGAAGTTCCCCAGGGATCCCTTTCAACTTGAGGAAGCCTTTGAGAGCCTTTGAAGGGGAGCCTCTGCTGTCCATAAATCCCCACCACTAGATTGGGACCAGGAGCACTAATTTTGGGATACTAAATCCTTCCCCCATCCCTAGGCTCTCAAAAGCTTCCCAAGATTTAAAGTTTTTCCTGAGGAGCCTTGTAACTTGAGAAGGGGGAAGAGTAGGAAACTTTAAATTTCATCATCTGCCATTATATGCACAAAGTTGTGCAACAGGATTCCAGCCGTTAAGTATTGACTTGTTGATCTTTTTTCAACTGCAAATCAAATTAGCACTTATTTTTAGATGAGGAAAAAAAATCTAGTTTGCACAACAACTTGTGGTCTAAAAAAGATGCCAAATTCAAGGATATTGTCGACAACTGTAAAATGCACATGGTTCTATAGAATCACCTGGTGATTTTTCTCTATTCCTGAGAAAACACAGTTCTAATAAGATGTTGGACTAAAGAGCCTAACTCTAACTGTTCGTGCCAGCTAGAATACATCCACTATACCAGAGGTCCCCAACCCCCGGTCCACAGCCTAGTGCCGGTCTGTGGGCTTCCTGGAACTGGGTCGTGGAGACAGATCTTCGGTTCCCACGAATGCATGAGGGGTGTGTCATGCTTGTGGGTGGGCGTGTTGTGTTTGCGCACATGCACACAGGGGTGACACACCCACCCACAAGCATGGGGATGCCCCCGCCACTGATGGAGCCCACAGCCCCCAACTGGTCTGCGATCCCAAAACGGTTGGGGACCACTGCACTAAACCATCCTGTTAACTCCTATTCCAGTTATGACTGGACTGAGGCTATTGCACTGCACTGAAATCACACTTTCTGAACCACAGGAACATCTGAGTTCAAAACTGCCAAACATTTTGTTTAGCAGATTTTCAGTTCTGTTCATGCCATTCTGATACAGAGTATATGAAGATACTTAAGCATCTGAAAGTATGGAAAACTTTCCACCATTTTAGATTTGGCACTATCATATATTTTTTGCTCAAGTATTTACTTAACATATCATGGACTGTAGTTTTCAGTACATATGCTACATTTCAATTTGTCACAATGAAAGAATACAGGAGGTTTTCAACATATAAGGTAACCGGGGGTCAGTGGTTTATAGCAGTAGAGCCAAATACTGGTGCATACTGCTTGATCGCTTCCACTTGATTCCTCTTGCAAACAGGTGTAGCTAATTTTGGTCCTTCTGACTATGGTTTTTTTAAGCATGACACGCAAATGGGCACTCTGTTTTGTCTCTCCCTGATAAGCAAGAATAATCATCACAAGTTGTTCTTGGTTTGTGACTCTAGACTAGATCCAACTGAAAATCCCACCTAGACCAGATCCACTAAAAGGATCTTTGTTAAGTCAACACTTACGTAAGTCTCTCTAACTGAAATGCTCAACCGTAACTGGAACCAATAACCCTGTCTTGTCTGAGGAGACAAGTCAGATTTCTCAGCTTACATGTCACACTAAACAAACTCCAGATAGAAGGTACATAGCTTGTTAGCTGCTCTTGTTTGAAATGTGAAAAACACAGAGCCTGCACTAGCATGCTAACTTCTTCACAGTAACCTAGTTCACAATACAGTGGGGTCTCGACTTACGAACTTAATCCGTATTGAAAGGCAGTTCTCAAGTTGAAAAGTTCTTAAGTCGAATCTGCATTTCCCATAGGAATGCATTGAAAACCGCTTAATCCGTATCTGCTCTTTTCGTCCATAGAAACTAATGGGAAGCTGCTATTCCGCCTTCTGCCACTAGAGGGGGATACTTTTTTCTTTTTTCCTTTTGACCTAAGATGACTTAGCTTTAAAAAAAGGGAAAAAAAAGAGTTCGTAACTCGAATCTAAGTTCGTAAGTCGAGTCCATATATCCCTATGAGAGCGGTTCGTAAGTCGAAACGTTCATATGTCGAGCCGTTCGTAAGTCGAGACCCCACTGTAATTCATGTTTTGAGGTGGTCAACTAAGTTAATGTAAACAACTTTCAGTCGGCAGAAAAAGTCTACTTATAACTTGTTACAATATAAAAAATTATCTTCTTGGTACAAATTTCAGAATTTTTGTCTTGAAAGGACAAAACAAGAGTAATATACGGAATAAACTTACAGAGAATCTTGATTTCTTGATCTACTGGAATCATATTCTTCAAGGTGTGAGAAATTTGGAGACTGGCTCTGTAAAAATTGAAAATATTGCCCAGTCATAATACTGAATGAACTATACATAACAAATATACGTAAGGCACATGTCTGAAAATGGAGTAGGGCATTAGTTTCTCACCAGCTATCTGTGAGGCTGGAAGTTAATATGCTTCTGGTAATAGTGATCAAGGGGGAATCAAGTCCCCTTACTAAGGAGTGTCATGAAGAATACACACAGAAATTCATAGCTTGGTACTGTGGAAACACAAAACTGCCAAATCACAAGCATCTTCTAGTGCAGTTCAACAGAGATTGGAAAAATACCCCACAGCCAGAGGCCATTTTTGCACAGAGGATTCTAAGAGCTGTATGCAAGTAAAAAAAGTTAGCCTTGCAACTGATATGCTGCAAAGTGCCCTCTTGTACGTCATCAGCTTTCCTCTCACCCTGATAACATCTCAGTGACAGAGCCTGTTACCCTCTATACCACCTCATGCCCTGTTGGTATTTTTTTAGCAATTTTTGTTCTGTTACCATATTTTGAAATGTGGCTATAAAACTATGACATCAGACACTGAAAGACACACAACATATAGCCAGAATAATCAAAACCTACTCTTAGTAGAAGAACTTGGGTTATGCAAATAAAAAACATGGCATAGAGAGAAAATAGAGAACCATGCATCCAGGAATCAAATGGACATCACTATGCTGGGATTTAACATGACTTGTCATGTAAAAAAAATCAACAGAATTTTATTAAACTTAGGCAACAACTGAGTTGTCTAAAAGCAAGACTCACCAAATCTGTGGTACTCTGATCATTTGCCAGACCAAGAAGGTTTCCTGCATTGCGCAAATCTTGAAAAACTTTCAAAATAATCTTCTTCAAAGCCACTAATTTAGTCTAATTAAGAATGAAAGTGTTGTAAATATACAGAGGAATTAAATGCCCACTTAGCATGTTTATCTTCAGAAGACTTGTTCAGACATAAAACCAAACATAAAATAGCAGGGTTTTTAAAAATTGTATATATTTCCTACTACCAGGAATCACACTCATTTGGTGTATCATTCCCATCAATCTTAGACAGCATACTCAAAAGTGAGGGATTATGAAAGCTGTACTCCTATAACATCTGGAAGGCCAGCATTGCCTACACCTGCTTTAACACCTCCTTTAATGGATGAGCACCTCAAAGAAGCTCTGGGATGTATTGCTCTTTAAGGATAACCTCTGAAAGACATTTTAAGTTGGACCACAAGTCTTGATTAGTCCATCAGTCAACTAAACTGAACAAACTAAAACTTTTGCAGATGTAATCAGTGGTAGTAAGGATCTGATCCTTTTTACTTTTTCAGCTACTATTGTTGTGTTTAATGACAGATAATCTCATCTCTTCTGAGAGATCTCACAGAGGTCCACCAAGTAGCCACTGATATGTGTGCATTTGTACACATGCAAAGATTGTACAGAAGTATGGAACTAGCTGCTATCAATATGATAACAAATATGCCTCCTTTTAATCTCATACAGGTCATATAGTTTCAGTACTTATTCAGCATATTACCTTAATAATGCACTTGAAAGGGATATTTTAATCTCCCCAGATACATCCCCTGTTTATGAATATACACTTACAGACTTATAACAAAGTTCCCTCTATTACAGTCACCTGTACACTAGCAAAAAATACCCCCAAATTTCAGCCACATGACCGTCACTGTTCTTTGTATGTTAATACAAACAAAATAAAACAAATACCAGACAAAAATTATCCCAACAAATCTGATTTTTGCACTGGAGCAATTATTTCTTCTAACCAATGTAACAGCTGAGGTGGGGTGGGGATATGCTATACACAACAAGAAAAACTGAAATGACAAACTGAAATGACACTAAAGTGCTCTGGTTGTGAGCAGGTTGGCCAACTCTGGCCTGCCATCTGGGGACAGCAAGTTGGAATTCAGTGAAACAGAAAAATACACCAGTCTAGACCACAGTATAAATTTTATTACAGCTTAATCCACCTAATGTTTTCTCACTCTGGCAAACTTTTCTATTCCAATATACTAGAATTTTCAGTGAGGCAGAAAAATATCGCAATATCAATACTGTAAGGTTTTTTATGTGACTGAATGAGATCAACTGAAATATGATTGAAGGTAATTTTAATGATTGTCACAAGGATTTGTAGAACCTTATCAAATATTTGTTCTTCTGCAATACATTTTCCCCCTATAGGGCAGGTATATATGTAAAACACCAGTTTAAAAAAAGTACCTCATCATGTCTTTGTCCTTGTTGCGCTTCCAGCTTTCGTTGCAGGACAAACACCTGAAACTTCAGGTGTTGATATTCTCTCTTTAAATGCAGGATAATATCTTGTGCTTCCTTCAGTTTCCTCTTTTCCTCTTCTAAAGCCAGGGCTAATGCTCGATTGTTCACTTGGCAGCTTTTCAGCTGTGTAAAAGAGTTGTCTGGGAAAAAACTGGAGACAGTTAATACCTAAAATTCCTTTTTCTGGGAAAATCTTAATAGAATATTATTTACCTGTAATTTTACCCTTTGTAGTTAAGACTTGGTTAGCTTTGCCCAGCTTTGACCATTTCTTATTTCTCTTCTCTTTCATTCGTTCTTTTATATCTTCCAGGCTGTCTTTAAATGATTTTTTCAAGCACCTTTCTCTAGCCATATTGCTCCTTAAAGAATACAAGAACAATTTATTATGGTTTCAAACATGTATTTAAAAAGTCTTCCCTGATTTTACTATGAATATTTGTTGCTTGACCCATGTTCCGCTTCAGAAATACTTGTTTGCAATAACACAGTATTATTTTTACTTTAAAATGCTACTGAGAAGAGTAATCAGGAAAGTGTGTTATTTTCTTAATTAGTACTTATCAATATATTATCTTAAAGTCAGAATAGGAGTGATCATTTTATATGAACCAGTAGTCTTAGATATTTTGCTACCTATACGTTGTTAAACTAATGTAAAAAAAAACATTAGCAATCATGTAACTAAAATCCCTTTACAAACTGACAGATTGTTGTTGTATTTTCGAAAGCTTTCACGGCTGGGATCCAATGGTTGTTGTAGGTTTTCCGGGCTGTCTGGCCATGTTCTTGAGGTTTTTCTTCCTAAGGTTTTGCCAGTCTCTGTGTCCGGCATCTTCAGAGGATAGGAGTCAAAATTCTGTCTGTGCTTTGGTGGGATAGTTGAGTATTTATAGCTGTAGGATCAGGCTTTTGTCCTTTTTCAGGAGACTGGGTGATCAGCGTGTTTTTTGTTATGGGTGTATTGTTGTGATAAGGGGGAGAGATGATCTGTCACTATGATTGATGGCTGTTGTTAGCTGGTCTTTTGTGTGCAGTGATCAATGGTCCTTGTAGCTGGGTAGAGCTCGCTGACCTTTTGCAGGCTGTGTTTTTCAGTGCTGGGAGCCAGGCTTTGATGGGTTTTAGACTTTCTTCTTTTTCTTTAGACATTCTTTTTTGTTGAAGCTCTGCCAGTGTTTGTGGATTTCAACGGCTTCCCTGTGCAGTCTAACATAACGATTGCTGGTGCTGTCCAGTACTTCTGTGTTTTGAATTAGAATGTCATGTCCAGCATGTTTCAGGGCATGTTCAGCTACTGCCAATTTTTCCAGTTGTTTTAGTCTGCAGTGTTTCTCATGTTCTTTGATTCTGATGTGAATGCTGCGTTTTGTGATTCCAATATATACCTGGCCACAACTGCAAGTTATCTCGTATACTCTTGCAGTAGTGACAGATTGCTGTTAGATATTAACTATGAGATGCCAATCCCATAGGCACGAAGTTCGTGAATCTTATGGTGATATTCTTTGACTACTTGCGACTTTACATTGTGTTGATACTTTTCACTGAATTAGTCACTATCATAGGTAAGTAATGTAGGTCAGCGCAAATGTGCTAAAATCAGCACAAATACGTAAACACTCACAGTGATGTATGAAATTGACCTACATTGTCCAAATGGAAATTTCAGAAAACTTCTGAACGAATAATTCAGTACAAGAAACAATGGAGAAGCATGAGGACCACCACAACGGTGGAACACCTATACACAGAATAGCTATGGATTGGCTTCAATTGTGCAGCAGTGGTCAGGGGAGGGGAGATATGTGGTGATAAAAACTAAGCATTCAGACCACTAAAAGGAATTCTGGAAGAAACTCTTCTGACTTTCTACAACTAATTAACAGGGCATGTAATTAATAACAGGCTCAAGCTATAGGAAGTCATATTTAGGCTGAATATCAGAAAAATGTCTTAACTCTTAGAGCAATACAACAATAGAACAAAGGTGATGAGCACTCCAACACTGGAAGCATTCAAAAGAAAACTGGACAACCATTTCTCAAATACGCTTTGATTTGTATTTCTGCATTGAGCAGGGGTTGGACCAGATGGCCTTGTAAGAACCTTCCAACTCCATTATTCTATAATCATAATTCCTATACAATCCCTTATCGAAACCTCACTTTATTATTCCTCTGAACTGAAAGAGTAGAAAAGTGAGATTAGAAGAAAACTGCAAATCACATATGCTTGAGAGAGAGAGAGAGAGAGGCAGGGCAGTGCTCCGCTTACACGGAACGCCCTACTTGTTTGGGAAACGGCTCCGGTCCCAATCCCCTCCCGTGTGGGAGGGGGGGAAACCAGCTGAGAGACAAGCCACATCCCGCCAGGTCCCAAGGAGCCTCTCCACGGAGCCAGTGGAGCAACCCCCTTCGCCTTCGCCTCCCCTCCAAAACAACAAAGGGCCTCGAACCTAGAAAGCACCCTTTTGCGGTCGCGGGCGTCCCTCTTTCGGAGTCCTCTGAGCCCTGAGCATTCGCTTCAAATGCGCCGGCGCAAAAAAAAAAAAGCGCGCGAGAACGAGTCCACCCAAGCCCCTAACGACGGCGGCGGCGGCGGCGAGAGAACGGCTGCTCTTGTTTATCCTTCCCTCCCGTCTTGTTCCCCATCCGTTCGAAATTCTCCGCTGCGCCTCCTGATTGGCTGGCTGTGCTGCCGGAGAACGGAAGTGTAACGACGATCCAGAATCCGCACGCGCACTTCTCTTCCTTCCCTCTTGCAGGTGCTGCTCTATTGGTTGAGCGCGGATCGGTCCTTCCCTCGGCGTTGCACTTTCTGAACCGCCTGTCAGTTCCAGCACCATCCAGTTCCCGAACCGCCACGTTCTGATTGGTGGTTTATTTAGGTATCCGCTTTGCTTTTCAGCGACGTACATAAGTTTGTCCTCCGTGCTGCATAATCTCATTCAAACAAAAGCGTCTGCGCGAACCTGAAATTGTTTGCTACCTTCAAGGTTCATTTTATACCACTTTTTTGTTTGTATTCCAGTTCACATATGAAAGCGTTTATTTCTTTTAAACATTCAATATTCAAAGCAAGCTGCACATTATCTAAAAATAACGAAGAGAGTAGGAATGGCATGTTCAAAATATTGAATAGATGTAATTACGGCAGTTGTAAAACGATATTTTAGTTTTAGGAAGCAAAGAACTTCTTAAAGAACTTAGTCTTAAAACAGGCATTAAAAGGAAGTCCACGCTAGCGTTCAGTTTCCTTCTTGCAAACTAAATACCCAGATGTTTTCCTGTGTAAAGGCTTGCTTTTGTTGCCAGGAGAAGGATATTGCTTCAACGACGCTTTGTAACCGAGACATTGAAGCCGTTCCATTCTTTGGGCAACAATGGCGCAAGCCCTGCTGCCTTGTTATAGTTCCTGAAACACGCGAGCCAAAGAACAAAATAACGAAAGGCGGTTGGGTTGGTTCGGAAAAAAAGGAACGCCAACAGCAGTTTGGCAGTGGTGTTGTGAAAACCGCAGGTGGAGTGAGGAGATACCGCGCAACGTCCTGAAACAGTCTGCTTCCATAAATTTATTTTTCCTTCCGAAAAATCGTTGCAGAAAGCGATACTGAACCAACTTCATCGTTCTTTAACAAGTCCTTCGCCTCCTAAAACTAAAATATTTTACAGCTGCCGTAATTAGATCTATTAAATATTTTTAACATGGCATTCTTACTCTCTCTTCGTTACTCTTAAATAATGTGCAAGTTCCTTTGATTATTGGACGTTTAAAAGAAATAAAAGCTTTCATATGTGACCTGTCATGCAAACAAACAAAAGAGTGGTGTAAAATGAACCCTGGAGGTCGCAGACAGTTTTAGGTTAGCGCAGATACTTTAGTTGTTTTGAGGATTTTATACATCACGGAGCACAAACTTGTGTATGTCTACTCAGAAGCAGCGCCTGCTGATTTCAAGGTGATCTTAAATAAGTGGCTATGGGATTGTAGCGATTTTTTAATATATAGAATTCTGTTGGAACTGTTTAACATTTCTGTTACATTTCCGTGTATTCAAAGAACTCAGATAGATAGTTCGATTTTATTACAGTCAATGGTCAATGTCCACAAAATCCATGTAGCCATATAAAGCAGTTTAGATTGAATGGGAAGAAATGCAATGCAGCTGTTTTATAGAGCACACCATAGAAGAAGACACCATTTAGTTGTCATTGAACTTCTATGTCTTTTTATTTTGTGTCCTCTTGCCTCATGAAAGGAAGTGGCATACAGTGGATGGGGAGTACTTCTAAGAGAATGCCCTCTTCAGGGATTTTGTAGCATTGTCTCTTGTAGCACAGTTTGTACTCAGTCATATTGTGTACCACACTTGTGTAAGTTAACCTACAAAACACCTGTGCAACTGTCTCAGCCTATTTTTAAGTCTATGTTATCAGTAACCCCTGTTTAGATTTTCTGGGGAAACTTGCTGACACGTCTTACCTATGGTTGTAATCCAATATAGTACTGTACTCATTTAACAGTAAGGCTGCTGTGCTATCAATCTATCTGCACACACAGATACTTACCTTGGAGTAAGCACCATTAAACTAAATGGAGCTTGTTGACAGATATGCACAGATTGTACTGTAAATTCCATTGTACTTGATGAGATTAACATTGAAAATGTTTAAAGACTGCACTATGATTACAATGAAAACCTGGAAAAAAAATCTGTATTTGAATTGGTGTACGACTTTGCCAAAAATCCCATTTGGCAAATAAGATGCAAAATAGGCAGTCAAGATGTGCATGCACAATTGTGACGCAAAAGCACTGGCTATCTATTAGCATCATTTAGTTTTACTGTACAGATCATACTTTAGTTGGGCAAAATATTCCGTGTTGGTTGTGACTAGCTGAGCCTTCTAACAATTTTAACAGGTACAAAAGATTCTTTTAGAATCAAGAGAAGTGCAGTAGTGTAACTGACAGTAGATTATGAGCTACTGGTGGACTAAAGGATCAATGCTAATCTGAAATAAAAACCCATCGAACAGAATATTCAGATTTATTTCTAAATATTCAAGCAAATAAGGGGGCGACACAGAATACTCAAGCCCTCTATCAGGGAATGGCGGTGTGTGATCAGGTTCGTTAAAATGTTTAGGCAAATCCTCATCTTGTAAATGAAATGACAATAAAGGAGTATCACTAAACAAATCTTTTTTAACTACATTCAGTTGTTGATTCTTAATTATATCACTATTAAGATCAAACGATAACTTTTCGGGCGAATAATTCTACAACAAAGGTACTGACTTCTTCAACGGTTCTTCTAACAATGGTAGGTTCTCGAAAATCTTTCTTGGTCATTGGGTTTCCTCAGATTCCCGCTCCGTGTAACACAAATGGTCCCGCAGCACAGGTGTCTGGACCATTCCCCTTCCATCAGTTTCTCGTTCAGCTGAGGAGGCTTGGGATGATTCACATATTTCACAGGACCGTGTCCCCTTGGGAAGACTAATGCAGTCCATTCCTCTGGTAGAAGTCCTTCAGTTATCGGTTTTGTCCCTGTATATCAACTCTCTCTTTGTCAATATTTAGTTCTGCTTTTCTAAATTCGTTATTTAAATCTCCCTTCAGTATTTTAAATGTTCTAGTCTCATAGGGTTCGGTTTCCTCCCACTCATCCTCACATACTACTACTTTCTCTGTTTCTCCCGACCGTCCGTTTTTCTGTTGTCAAGAAAACGTTTACCTCCTCTCAAACTTCCTCCTGACGCTTCCCCTTTTGCTCTTGCTCTTAACTCTTTTATCCCTTCCTCTATCTTGCACACACCTGACTCCTGTTCCTTACCTACCACTTTTACTTCTTCTATCTTTTCCACTATTTCATGTGTCTTTGATTCTTTTTCCTCTGTCCCTTTCTCTTGACTTTCCCCTTTCTCCTTCCCTTTCAGACTGCTGAGGAGATGGCACACTCTCCATCTGTATTGTCTCCTACTCACACAGTGATACAGTGGTGCCTCGCTTAACGATTGCCCCATATTACGATGAATCCGCTTTACGACGATCGCAAAACGATGGTCTAAAGGGGGAATTTCACTTTGCGATGATCGGTACCCTGCTTTGGGAACCGATTCTTCACAAAATGATGTTATTCTAACAGCTGATCGGTGGTTTCAAAATGGCTGCCGGGTAATTAAAATGGCTCCCTGCTATGTTTAGGGACGGATTCCTCGCTATACAGGCAGCGAAATTGACCACCATATGGAGGATCTTCGCTCGACAGTGAGTTTTTACCCCATTGGAACGCATTGAACGGGTTTCAATGCATTCCAATGGGGTTTTAATTTCGCTTTACGATGTTTTTGCTTAACGACATTTTCCTGGAATGGATTATCGTCATTAAGCGAGGCACCACTGTAATTTAGCCATTGGGTGTCAGATTAAAGCAAAGGAAAGCGTGTTGCTTATATACCGCCCCATAGCGCTTCAAGCACTCCCTGGGCGGTTTACAAGTTAATTATGCAGGCTACACATTGCTGCCCCCCCCCCCAGCGAGCTGGGTACTCATTTTACCGACCTCAGAAGAATAGAAGGCTGAGTCAACCTTGAGCCAGCTACCTGGGATTGGACCCCAGGTCGGGAACACAGGTTTGGCTGCAGTACAGTGGTTTAACCACTGTGCCACGATAATATTTTAAAGTAAAAATACTTATTATTACCTAGTGGTTGCAGTTCTGCTCCACTTATGTTGAGAGCCCTTGTGACCTCTTGTTGGTACAGGGGGTGGCGACTATTTTTATGGTATCCTCATAATTCCATTGAAATAAAAGGGAGCCATGGGGTCATTACAAAATACAAATGAAAGAATAGGCAATATCTTTATAGACCATTAAAAAATCATCACACAATCTGTATGCTTTCATGGATCAGGACAACTATCAGGACACCAGTGTGAAGAATTTGAAGTCCAAAAGTTCTTCCCAAGATGGATTTTTCCAGGAAGGTTGCTTGCAGATGTAAAGTTCAAAAGTTCTTGGCAAGATAGATTTTGGCAGGTACATCTTTGTTAGATGTAAGCCAGAAAAGATGCAGGCAGCATTACAGTTGTTGCTTTAAAGTTATAGCTGTGATTGCAGTTACTTTTCTTTATGTGTGGTTGTAAAAATGTAAACTGGATACTCTCTAAAAGCTTTAGTAGCACTGTCTTGAAGAACCCATTAAAAATTCAGTCCTCATATTTGATTATAAAAATCTCTCCTTAAAACAGATTAATGATTTCCATAATCCTCCAAATGAGCCATCTGTTCAGATGTCCTCAGTATCAAGTCCATGCCACACCTGCTCTTCCGATGATGTTTATGCTTGGAGAGTTTACTGTTTGGATTCTGATTCCCAAGCTTTCCCAGCCATCATGGCGAGTGCTATGTAGCTTGGGAATTCTAGAATTTGTAAACTGAAAAGTAACTTTTAAGTTATTTGCTGTATTCTTCTCAAACTAATAGGGCTTATTCGTTGCCTTCACTTCCATCATTTTTATTGTGTTCCTGTCCTTTGCTGGCTTTCTTTTCTTGGCTTTTCCATTTTCTTTGAAAAAAATATTATTCAGGAGAAAAAAATTACTGGTAGACCTAATATCTGAAGATGAGATATAATATATTTCTTAGCTATCATCCTTTGCTACTGTGAATATCTTATGCCTGAGCAACAGAGGTGCAGTATTCC